AGTGATTTTTTTTCATTTAGTACTTCGAAATGCTTTCTTCTCTCTTTTACAAGCATGACTTTTAACCTTTCCTTTTCATTTTGGCATTCCATCAATCTTACTGAGGTTGTAGAGTATAATCCCTTCCAATTTTGACATTCTTGAGAAATTCTGATGGTTTCCTCTTGCTTTTCTTGAGCTTTGCCCTTCCATTGGTTCATTTCCTCTCGGAGCTCATCCATTTCACGTTGTTAACTAAAGTAAGACTTTGTGACTTTTTTAGTTTTGAATTGGATTCATAACCTCTTATTTTTTGGTGTAGATATTTCAAATCACTATTAGACATATCCCGTTCTTTTATGACTTTTTCTAATCTACTACCATATATCTCTGTTTCATATTTCAATTGCCCTACTTTCTCACGAAATCTCAAATTTTTTCTTCTTTTTCAGCTTCTAATTCTTTCTTGACAAGCTCAACTTCTGATAATTGCACCTCTTTCGAAAGATTAACCAATTGATATAAGCTGTCATTAAAAGGGAATACTATGTCTCAAGGCCATATTACTTTTTAAATCTGATAATCAGAAGTGACTTTGTCGATAAAGGCCCTAACCTCATTTTTCGTGTTCTCTTTCATGCTTGGATCAACTACTCTGAGGTTCTTAATGGATTCAGTTTCCCATAAATGTATTCTACTTGGACTAGGCCATGAGTAGCAGGAACAAACTGCTTTGCATCAAATTGCCTAAACACCATTAATGGAGCATAACTTATAATGCCCCATAGCCCTAATAACGGTATCGTGGCTCATTTTCTCTATGATACAACAAGGGCACACGAGGCATCCAAGGTGTCATCCATTCAATTTCATCCTCAGTAAGCCTTCTTAAGAAAAGGACCTACTCTTCCTTAGTCTTCAATGTCGGCCATTGGCTTTTACAAAATTCTTCGATTGGTGCCTTATTTCGAAGATATGGTTTCGAAAATGCACTCTTCCCACACTTGAAATTACTTCTAATCTATACGTATAATAGAGATGCACATTCTATGAATCATCTTTTTTTATTTCGTCGATAAAAATTCAATGACCTGATGGTTTCAGCTAAGACTGCTAGAGCGGGATTAATTGCTTGGCTTTTCAATTTACTTGAAAAAGTCTACCACAGTTATCTCAATGTAACCCAAAGTCTTCGGACAGATTACCATGCCATACAATGCTAAAGCAAACACAGCCATACCTTGAGCATCATTTAAATGCTCCTGAATAAAGTTTCGAAGAAAGTCTCAACGGATGTCGAGATGTTCACCTTTAGGCTTTACAAAGGAATCGATGGTTTTTACTTTAACCCCCATAAGCTTGGCTAACTTTTTGTAATAACCTAATTTTGACTTTCGGGTAAATACTTTAGTTGGACATTATAGTTTTATCCTGAGTAAAATCGAATACTCCTCGATAGTTGGCATCAAATCTTCCTGATTAAAAGTGAAGCATCTATAGGATGGATCTCAAAACTGTATAGCTATCTTGACCAACTGTTCATCAATCACTACTGAAATGAGGGATGCAATCTGCCCATACTTTTTGTAAAAGCTTTCTTTTCGTTCTTCACTTAATTGACCCCAGACAACAACTAACTCTTTTAAATCATTCTGTGTGAGATTTAAATGCACTTTCTCGAGTAATTCAGACACATAACCGGTAGACAAATAATCTCCATTCTTTTGTTGAGCTTCTTTGACCAAACATGTACTTTATTATACAACCACATGGCACACTGACTGAGGATAAGCAAATCTGTAGTTCTATAGGATCCATAAAAACTTGGAAGAAATATGTCCTAGAACAAATATCTTGATGTAAAACTGTATGATATGATTAATGCAAAAAGGAAAAAAAATAAAACAAAATTGAGTTAATGTGAAGATGTGGTTTTAAAAAAATATTTTTTGTTTTCTAGTTTTTTTTTGTGTTTTGAGATTTTTTGTTTTGTTTTGTTTTGTATTGCACATAACTTTTATTCTTAGGTATTTCTTGCAAGAAGGTGGACAAGGCTCTACATAAGGCTGGTTTTCTAGGCTTATTATATGCTAGGTTTAGATTGACAGTGTCTAAAGGTTCTTAAATTGTTCCTCACTGTCGTCCATATTGGATTAGTAAGGCACCCCGATCCTCACCCATTACAGGCTACGAATGGAAAGGGTTCAATTCGAGTGAAGATTTCGCTTGCCATTGCGAAAGTTATCACCTCACGAGGGCATAGGTACTTTATTTCTTCCTATAAAGGACGAAGCTCGGGTATAGAGCTCATGCATGAGATGTATCGTGCCATTGTGTGGAAATATATCCTAATTTATTAAGAGTAATATATACAGAAAAATAAAACATAAGAGGCATAGTAAAAGAAATGTGTGTGAATTTTTTTGCTTTTTATTTTCGATTTGTTTTTCTTTTACCTTTTTTTATTGAAAATGAAAAATAAAAATCTAAGAAATTGATTAAGACTGTTTAAATCAAAATTTGAGGATAACAAGTTAATTTTGGCCTGACTCTCAAAAACAAAAGGCATCCCTAGAGGAGTCGCCAAGCTGTCGTAACGGTTTTGTGTTCGGCCCACGAATTTGGAAACAAAATAAAAAATAACGGAGTCACCACCAATCTTTTTTTGGCTAGGTACGATTGGTCACCTACTAAAATATATCCTTTTAATAAAGTTTTAAAATTAATTAAAATTTATTAAAAATATAATTTTACGGTCTGCGAAACAGTCTAAGTTCAGTAGTCGGTTGCGCGTGGGGAAGGATTAGTACCCCCGTAGCTCCCGTTAAAAATGGTACCAATTAACAATGTGTTATCTTTTGATTTTGATAAAAATAGTCCAATTTTCTGTGTTCGAAAAATAATTTCCTTGATTTTTTATTTATTAGAAAAAAAATTTATTCTCGAGAAAAATAAATTAAAGCTTTTTTATTGAAATAATTCTTAAAATATTTCAGTACGTTGGTAACATTATAAAAACTTTTTCTCACCAAAAGATTTCTTAGGCATCACTTCTTGGAATACCTTAAAATATCATCCTTGGAGGCTCAAATTTACTTTTCGTAAAAAATGTCATGCATGAAATAAAAAATGTTACAATGTTGATGCACACATTTTATTCTCCTTTGTTAGGAATTTTATTAATTATTTTATTAATATTTATTTTTAATTAAAATTTTGAAGAAAAAAAATTTAATTATATTGAAGATTTTCTATAAATATTCTAATACACTGATAATATTTTATAAAAAATCTTTTCACCTAGGGATTTCTTAAAGTATCTCTACTCGGAATACCTTTAAAATCTCATTATCGGATAAAATTTCTTTTCTTCTCATTGTTATTACTTATATTTTTATTTTATTAATTAATTTTTATTTATTACTGTTTTATAAGAAAAAAAGAAAATTTTTATTGTATTAAAAATTTTTTATAAATACTCCAATACACTAGTAGTATTTTAAAAAAAATCTTCACCTAGAGATTTCGTAGGTATCACTACTCGGAGTACCTTTGAATCTCATCGTCGGATAAAAATTTCTTTTTCCTACATTTTTTATTAGTTTAGTATTATTATTAAATTTATTTTTATTTTATTTTATTTTTAAGTTTATTTTTAAAAAAGAAATTAAAAAATTATAAAAATTTTAATTATAATTTCATCATTTAATCTAATAAATATGAATATTTTAATACACATAAATTTTAATATAATAATATATAAAAAATAAGAAAAAATTCAAAAAAAATTTTTTTTTACCTGAACCAGACCAGTCAACAGTCTTGTCAACGTGCGGTTCGGTCCGACGGTTCAGGTGCGGTTCGACGGTTCGGCTCGATCTAGCGCGGTCTGATTGGTTTAGCAATTCGGTATCAATTCGGATCGGTCTTGACACAGTCTGGGGCTGAAGGAGACGCGTGTCGCGAGTCGGGTGCGCGGACCTCGGGTTGAGTCACGGATTGATGCCAAGATCCATCAGGGGTTAAAACGACGTCGTTTTGGACATTTATTGAAATGACATCGTTTTGGCTATAAACAACTTATTAAAAGTCCAAAAAAAATTTCAATCATTTCTTTCCCTTTCCTCATAAAAAATACCTTTTTTTCTCTTTTTTTCCTCAGGCCGACCTGGGGCCGGCGACCGTCCGTCGCAACAGCCGCGGTAAGCCTCGCTGGCTGCAGCTCGACCGCCGTCGTCGATGTCAAAAAATTTTAAAATTTCCCAAATATTTCCTTCAACACCTTAAACACAGATCCAGCCTCTTTTTCGTCAAAAAGAGTCCTAAATTCTCTAGATCTACTGGTGAAGTTTTGGTCAAACACTCCTTTTATTTTCTCTCTTTTTTCTTTAAACTGACTTTTTTTGTTTTGTTTTTTTTTTTTGTGTAGAACTCTCGGCGCTAGGTTCCCCGTTCCAAGGGATTGAGTTTTTTTTTGTATTTTTTTGTATATTTTTTTCTGGCAGAAAGGTGTTTTTTTTTTTTTTACAGGATTTTCTTCCTTCTCCATTTTTGATCGGCCATGAGCTCTATTTATAAAGTTTCTGTAGTGTCTCGTGCCTAAGGAATGTCACAGGGTTAGGCATGAGGGTGCAAGCACGATCCCCATGCCTCTTTTATTTTTTTGGCAACATTTGACAGTGGTAGGGTTAGACAATGGGATGGGTGGTAGAGCATGGGTGGTAGGATAAGTGAGGGGTGAGTGGTAGCGATGGTGGTAGTGGTGCCGGGAAGGCACCACTGCCATCTCCGATTTTTTTTTGTTTTTTTTTATTATTTTTTTTATATATATTTTGATATTTTGTATTTTGTATTTATATTTTTTTATATTTTATATTTAATAATAATATTTTTTTTTTGTTGGACAAATTTGATGTCCAGAACTATGTTACTACTTCATTGTCTTTATCCACCAAAAACAGTTTTTTTTTTTTAAAAAAGACCAACACTGAGTTAATGGACGGCTATTCGGACCTCTTCTTCTCAACTCCACCAACCAAGTCGTAATTGCAATCTTTCATTTTCCACCAACAGAAAAAGGCCCGTCTTATATACACCCTTTCAGCTGTCCCTCACGGGCAGCATCAAATCAAAGTTACCCATCTTTTCCCTTATTCCCCAACTCCAACTTTCAAATTCAAAACCTTCGCTTCTCTCCTAAACTTTTTTCACTTCTTGGGGTCGTTTCGTTAGGAAAGAGAGAGAAAACCAACTAATTATAAATACATATATAATATACCCCCACCAATCACTAGTGATTGGAAATAACTCGTAAGGCACAAAGCCGGCTGTTCTACATAGCCAAACTAGAACAGTAGAACTAGAACGGCAGAACCCCAAAACCAAAACACTATTTTCCATGTTTTATTTCTTTGCTTCTTCCATCGTTTAGACCGAAACCGAAACATTCCACATGTTTAACCATTGAAAGCCATAATTATCATATTCTTTACAAGCTCCAACTGTCAGTTACATTAAGAAAAAAAGTAATGAAGAACGCTACCGGAAACAATTTCTTGCTCTGTTTTAGACCCGTTGTTGATATGGACTTAATGCTCGAGTCCAAACCAGTTGTGGTTGATCGTTCCCAAAATCATCAGGCATTAACGTACTTTGGCTTTAAAAACAAGGATGATATGAAGCCTTCAACGCCTAATTCCTCTGTTTCTAATACAGAAAATTCAATCATGATTCATCGTTCTGGAAAGAAAACATTTTCCCAAGTTATCAAAGCTGTTGTCTTCGAGATCTCATTGGTATGTTCCTCTTTCCTTTGTTCTTCCTATATTTTCTGACGAAGTGATTAGCTGTCATCACTCATGAATATATCTTATTAACAGGCAAATAGAGTTCGAGACCGAAAAGGTATTGATCAAGGATCATATTCATCAAAGCACAATTTCCCATTAAACAGCCGTGCTAAGTTGTTGGATGCAAGTGTTGGTAAATCAGTAAACAAGGCTTTGGCTGGGAAAGGAACTCAAAAAACTATTTCCGAGTCCAACTCAGTCTCGTCAATGTCATCTTGTTCATCATCTTCCCCAAATTCTACGCCAAAACCACAGAGGCAACAGATGCAAAACAACAACAATACTTACATCAACCATGATGAACGTGAAACGAAGCCAAAGCAAGATCGAATAGATAATGGTTCAAGTTCGAACAGTGCCATATTTTTGCCTCTCATTAGTCTGGCAGTGACAATCTTTTGGGGAAAATTTTGTGCAATTCTTTTCACATCAATTTCGCTATACATTATCCCTCATCAACAACCTGAAGGAGTTATTGAAAGCCTGGAAAATATTAAAAGAAGCCCGGAAAAGAATTCTAGAGATTACAAAAAGGTGGTCATAATGGAATGGCTACTTGGAAGGAACTACAACAGAGCGGCATTAAATTTTTGACGTGAAAATTTCCTTTTTTTCGTGTATGATTCAATAGTCTCTCAGGTTTATTTCATTATTTCTGGGATGCAAGTTTTAGTTGTACATTAAAGTTCAAGTTAATTGAGAGTGATATACCGTCGATGTATCAAATATCATCTCTTAAAGTTCAAACGCAAAAGACAAAATATGCACGCATCAGTTTCTTGTGCAGTAATTGTATTTTTTTTTTTTTAATTTGGGTGGAGATTTCGGAACGTTCATTGTTACTTAAATTCTTTCATTCCACTTCCCCTGTTCTTATTCGTTTTCTTTCCCTTTATTTTTTCTTACAAAAGATTTTATTAGATTTTCAACAGACAATGAAAGCTATAAAACTAAATCTCAACAGATTTGTTTCCTTAGAAAACCCAATCCCGTTTCAGCTTGCTGCTCGTTGACTCATTCAGGATTAATTTAGAATTCACGTGAAAATTAAATACTTGTGATATGAGTTTAAGCAATGTTTACCTGACTAGATTATGGAATTAACCATTTTTAAGAATCGACATTTAGCAAATCTGATATTAAAATTCCAGCATTTGTAACCCTTTCTTTTATTCCCATACTACCGTCTCTTTTGTACAAAAAAAATATATATATGTAATTGAGAAAAGAATATGAAAAAAAAAAGGATCTGATCCAAAGTGAAATATTTACCTTGAATAAGGAGATATCTACATTTCTAAACCAGATATACTTGCATGTTTTCAGCTCTTTTGGTTCTTAATTATTGGATATTAGTATTCTATTATTGTCTCATATTTGCACTGATTTGAGACAAATTTGAACGTGTTAGATAATGTTTGGTATGCTACCAAACACGCAGGCAAGCACTACAAGAAACTTGAATTCTGTCTTCCTTGAAAGTATATACCTTTTTTATATGTTAAGTGTTATCCAGAGGATTAGAGCATTGAATCCGGATAAGAATTACTATGAAAGCATGATAACCTTGGGAGTTTTGAACTTTCTTGTTTTTTTCATAATTTGTAGTTACCCTGTCTGATAGAACAATATTAAACATAGAATTAGGTTAAGTACAAAGATACTTAAGGTGCAGGGTTAAATACGAATCACTTGTCTCAAATTATTCACCAAAATTTCCATGCTAATCCAATCCAATCCTGGAAGAATATTTTGCTCGGTTTTGTCATTCTCATGAGCATGCATCATTTCAAAGACCGATAGTTTGGTTAGCATCACGTGAAGGATAGAAATTTGTGTGATTTTTCTCTAGCTATTTTTGTATAGTTTTGAACGTGAAAAATTAAATTCTTAAACTGATAGTGGTATTATTGCTGGTTCCCTCTCTCTCTCTCTCTCTCTCTCTTTTAAGTTTGGGATTGAATAATTCGGACGTGGAGCTATTTTTGTTAAAAAAGTTATTTTTAATGATTGGTTAGGTCTTGCCTAATTAACGTTGTACCCCATGAAAAGGATCCCATGTTTGAAGTTAGTGGCACCTGCCCATCGAAAATTAATAATAATAAGGACGAGGAAAAAGAAGAATTTATAAAATTAAATAAAGAGAAACCAATAATATTTGAATTATATCCATATATAATAAATGAGTTTTTATTTGATCCACATCAATATAAATTTTATATACTATTAGTATTTAAAATTTATATATTATTAGTAAATGAAAAAGACTTATATGAAATATTTTAGCTGAAATTTATAAATTCCTTACTAAAAATGATTCAATAAAAATTAAAATTGAAAATCAAAACTAATAAATTGATAAAATTCAATAAAAAGATCAATAATATGTAAAAAATTATTAAAAATATCGTTTATAATTCAAATTTAATAAATACTTATTCAACAGTAAAAAATTTATCAAAATTTTTTTAAAAACACCTATCTAGAAATATGTCAAATTTTATTAACTTTTTCTCAAATTTTGCACAATCAATTTATGTAACAAGACCTTTCAAATTATTAGTTTTAATTTTCAATTTTAGTTTTTATTGAATATTTTTAATAAAGTTGTGTCGTTTTTAATAAAAACCTTTACAAATTTCATCTAAAAAACTTTACCTAAATTTTTTCCATTATCAAATTATATGATTTCACCTCATTAACATAAAAAAAAATTTTAAATTAACGTTTTGTGTATTGATTTTAAGGATTTATAAAAATTTATACTTGTTTATTAATAAGGTGATATAATTCACTAATGGTATATCAAATATAAATTTTTATGATGAATTACTGACAATATATAAAATATTTTGTAAATCATAAGAAAGAATTAAAAAAACATTTTCTTTCTATTTGTTTTCCTAAAGGCAAAGAGTACATACTTTTGGTGCTTATAATGAATCTTGATACAACATAAACTGAACCTAATATTTAGACTTCAAGTTCTGCGAGGATCATGTTAAAAAGTGAACATTTAAACATTGATTACAATAATGCCACTTCATAAAATTTTAAAAGAAGTTAACTAGTATAACACTCACCTATACCAAATCAACCCTTGAAAAGAGTAGTTTAGTCTTGTCTTAAACTAAGGTTTTATAATTAAAGACCTCCATTATATTATGTTTGGGATTCGGTTAGTTCCTTTCTAGTTTTTTTTTTTTTTTTTAGTTTCTTGTCAATTTTGAAAAATTATATGTTTCTAGTTAAGGACTATTATAGTAAAACCCAAATAAATTGCTTTCAAGTATTCAGTGACATGGTATCCTATATATTGAATTAGAGGTGAAGCCAAACATTAATCAAAGGAAAGCCAAACAGTGAATTGAATGGGGGAAAGGGGAGACGCATATTACTTTTGATAGGCTCAATTACTAATCTAGAATGTTATGCGAAAATTGGTATATTGATGGATTTGCTATGGCATTGAGTTATGGTATTAAGTTGGTTTGATTTGAACATATATTGAGCTTATTGTTGCCTTAAATTGATTATCATATCGCTTTGATTGTCTTGTTCTCTTTGCTATGACAAAAAAGGAGAGAAGTAATGAAATGAAAATTTTGCAAAAAAGAGAAGGTATGACCATATTGCCTATTTGTTCAAATTGAAAATTTTGATGACTAGCTTATTTTAGATTGAATACTTGTTATAAAAGGAGTAATCTTTAAGCTTATGCCTAAATGAATATCTTGATATTGCTTTATCTATTAATGCTCTTGATATTATGCTTAATATGCCAACAAATAATTAATAGCTATTTACATATTCTTAGCTTATTAAAAAAAAAATTGCTTAAACTCAAGAGGTGTCTACTTTTAAATGGAAAAATGTTTTTTTTTAAGCAAATTTTTTCAATTGGTTTTGTTATATCAAAAAGGGGAGATTGTTAGCCTTGAATTTATTAATGTATTTTAAAATGACAAAACAAAACTTTGCTTAACATGAACTAAGTTGCTTTAATCTAAAATTGAACATTCTTTCAGCCTTTTATCTTGCTTAAAATGTTTTTGAACCAAAACAAAATTAACTCTTGAAACAAAAATGAGTTTTGGACAAATTGGGGTAGATGGAATCGATCCCCTAAAGGGAGAGATTGATCCCCTCACATTACCCAATCGATCCCCTAACTTAAGCGATCGATCCGTTTTTTTGGTAATAGCCTATCTCATGGAAATTTTTCAAGAATCAATCGATCCTCTCCTTGTAAGAATCGATCGGTTAGGTTTTCAACATGACTTGATCGATGCTCCCTTTAAAGGGATCAATCCTTTTTTATCCATAAGTAAAAATGATTTTAAAGCTTATAAAAGAGATCAATCACCTTACCCAAGGGATTGATCACTTGGGTTAGAAGATCAATCAGGTTTTTTACCTGATCGGTCAGGTCTGGCTTTCATGAGTAAAATCTCTTTTATTTTTAATAGACCCAATCAATCCCCTATATGAGGGGATCAATCCCTTTATGCCTTGAAAACCCCAAATGCTATTTTTTTTTTGTTTGAAATTTTGCAAGCTCTAAATATTTAATGCAAGAAACGGCTATCTTCCACTCTCTACATATAAAAGCAAGTCTCCTACCACATTTTAAGCTATTAAGAGACAAGAAAACTTATTGCTTCCATCTACTATCTTCTTCAAGCATTAATGTGCACTTTATTGTGAAAAAGAAGCAAAATTTTTTCTTGTATTTGTTTTCTCTTGATATTTTTCTTACTCTTGATTTGTACTTCAAATTAGCAAACACCTAACATTAGAAAGGTTATTTGAGTTTGCAAAATATTTCAAAACTTGTATTGTGAAGTTGTAAGCTTAAGGGGAGGATAACCCTTAAGAGATTGTATTATTGATTGTATAAAGCTTTGAAGAGTTAGATTGTAACATTCAACACATAATGGATTAAGCTACTTGACAAGTAATGCTAAGTGAAATGATGTAAGTGCCTAAAGGAATGGTCAAACCTCTATAAATTTTGATGTTTGATTCTTTATCTCTGTCTCTTGCTTTTAAGATTATTTGTGTACTCATAGTTATTGTGTTTTATTTGCTTAAAAAAATTGATTTGTGAATTTTGTACTTATTGGATATTAAATTTGAAAATTTTATTATCAACCAATTCACCTTTTTCATGGTTTAATTCAAGTCTTTAAGCTAACACATTTGTTTGGGGGGCAATCTTTACCTTTTCAATTTTGTACATAGTTTTAAATATAAATTCTTGTTTTTATGATGCATTCTATACATGTATTTGAAAATTCATTTTATCTATGTAAACGTTTTTATATGTACATTATTTCATTTGTTTGGAGCAATCTTTGTTTTTTAGTTTTGGTACATAAGTTTTGAATATGAATACTTATTTTTCATTATGGTATTTGTATATATCATTTTGAATTTAAGACAATTTGATAATAAAAGCCTACATGATTTCTTTTCATAATTGAAAAATATATTTTGTAAAAAAAAAAACTCTTTGTGGAAACAATCCTAAAAGAATTAGTGATTACTGTCAAGAATGATCATATCTAGTTGTTTTACTTACCATTTCATACTCCAATTCAGTTGAGCATCACACCACTTAAAGTCTAGCTTCGCAAGACCCATGATCTTGATTTTCACTTAAGAAAAAGAGATTTCCAAGTTAATGGTTTGCATTAAGGTATGAGCAATAAAATTTGCAAAATCTTTGAAAAATTCTTTATAAGCCAATACATGAGGCACTTTATCAAGGATTCTAGATTTTGATAATTTGATAAGTGTCAAGACTATTCCAAACACGTCATTACCCAAGTTTCTTCACAAAGCTCAATCTCTATAATTTATTCCTTGAGGCATAATTAATAAAAGCGCCATATTTTCTTAATATCTTTACTTGACATCTTGATTT